TATGCTTCTGTGAGTTCCCGGGTGAAATATCCTCATAGCATCCATGGCTTTATGAGGCTGTGAGTTGAAGAAGAAAAAGCACAAAGTGATTGAACCCCTGTCACTCATTAGTGTCCGCAAGATGCTAGAAAGATCTCTACATTCCTTGATGTGGTTACTGTCAATACAGTGAAGTCCAGGAAGGCAGAATTGAGGCAGAAGAGTAGTACAGAGAATGACGTCCAAATGCGCAAAGGGTTAAAATCTGGCATATGACAGACACCTACGGACAAAGAAGAATGCTGGAGCCCTAGCCAAAGGCCTATGTAACAGATAGAATCTGTCTGTATAAGACGGTCATAAAAAAGGACCTATAAAAAGGGGCCACAGCCTGGATACAAATTGAATAACTTGTAATAAAATAAAAAATCTGAATAGTCTATGTGCTGGGCCTCTGAGCTTTCAAACTTCCTCCCAGCTCCGGCTTAATGTCTCCTTGGAAGTGTGTTCTTCTTAGCCAAACGCTCTGCTTCTGCTACAACCCAGCACGAACAGCAGCGCAGAACCCCAGGTGGCGTTCTAGCCCTCTCTCATGTTTGTGGTGTTCTTACATTCTGTCCACACCTTTTAAAATATTTCCTGAGCTTCCGAGGAAACTACATAGATGAAAAAAACCCTTTTCCTCAGCAAAATAGGATTATGATTTTTTTATAGTGACTTGAACATTTTGATCCAGTGAAACAGAGTTCATTAAAAATGGTAGAAAAAAAAAGATTGAGGAAACACCTTGTATTTAGTTGATTCAGCAAGTACATTAAGGAGTAAATAAAAGAAAAACATTCAGTATAATATGAATTTAAAAGCTAACAACAGAATAAAAATTGCTGATTTTTGTTCTTGTTTACATCTTATCTTCTAAGTTTTCCAAGCCATTTAACATAGCAATGGGTAACAGTACATTGGAACTCATTAAAAAAGCTTAATATTTGCCAAATTGTCATGGCATGAAAGAGGTAACACTTTTCTTTAAGGACCATACATTTAGGAATATTAGTTGTATGTATATATTTGTTTCCTTTAAAAACTACTTTGGGAATTTTGATTTTTCAAAGGCATCTCATGATGAAATTAGATGTATAGAGCAATGCAGCTAGAGAGCAACAATTATTTCAAAATTGAAAGCTACAGTTACGTTTTAAAATATAATTACAGTACGAGTGTAGTGTTTGGTGTCTTTACTTGGTCATTTCTGCAAGATTTATAGTGATAGGTGGAAGATAGACCCCTGCTACCACCTAGTTGTTATCTAATTTCCCATTTTCAATTCAGTGATATCAATATTTGCCACCTTCTAAGAATTACAGTTTGCAGAAACCTAAATTGCCTTGTTGGACATTTACAGGCATCATTTAGAGCCAAAGTCTATGTACGTAATTCTTCTTCCATCACTTGTTTCAGTGGCTCATGGAATTTCTGTTGTTCTGATCAGAGAACATAGCAAAATGAATCACCCGGCACGTTTACAGAACTTTGTTCTGTGTGGTATACTTAGTACAAGGTTTATGAAACTCTGGAAATTTGTCTTCCCGGGGTTTAACCGGCCTAGACTCCAGAACACTTAAATAACACAGATACAAATTATTTGCAGTTTGGAAATGCATACTTTAGATTGGATTCTACGAAGCTCAAGTCTCAGCAATTATATCCGGGATTATGGTATGAGTTTTGACTGAAATTTCAATAACAAAGTTATTGTTAAAGAAATTTTTATTCATGGTTGTTTTAAAATACTGGATATTGCTTTTGCAGAACGGAGTAAATATATTTGTGAATGTCCCAGTGGGTACATATTATGTAAGGAAGTACTTACTTAGGGTCTGGGAGAGGGTTACTTAGGTAATCACATACACTTTCTAAAGGAAAGCAGTAAATATTTAGATGAACCAGGACAGATTGGGACTTAAAGCCACTTTATATCAGTTGACTTCCAGTTTTAGTCACCAAGTGAGGCTGAAACCAATCTTCATTTTACAGAACTCTTTAGACAGTAGAGTTGTTAATCCAAGGTTTTATTTCTGTACTAATAAAATATGAAAAAAAAAAACAATGTATAAGTTGAAACAGCAGGTCCTGTCCTGGCATTTGGCAACCATGGTCAGACGTCAGTTTTGTATCGCTCTTTGTCTCTTCCGTGTTCAAAATGAGGAAAAGCAGCTCCAAGTTATAGTTTCCATTCAGCAGAATGTATTGATTTGTGCTGTATAACTGTAATGGTATCATCCTCCATTGATTTAAATTATGCATGAGAAAACAATAAAATAATAATAATAATAATAATAATACAGCTAGCTTAGTTACTCCTCTCAAAACAAAAATTGTGGCAAATTTAACATTCAGAAATGCATTTTCAGTGATTGGCCACCAAGTTAGCTGGCATTTTCTGTCATTACATATGACGTGGTCTTAGGCAGGAGCATGGATGGAAGGAAGGCGGGAAGTTAGCTCAAGACGGTTAAATCATGAATCCAAATCACATTCTAAAATGGACTCACTTGCCTCATATAGAGAAAGTGCTTTCCTCTTCCTCTGGCCATAGGCCTGTGTGAGGAACGAGATAATGATATTTATTTATTTATTTATTTATTATTTATTTTTAAAAAATTTTTATTTTTCTTTTTAGTTACAATTTGTTAACTCTGTGTCCCAGCTGTATCCTGCTCCCTCATTCCCTCCCCCTCCCCAACTCCCTCCCTGGTTTCCTCCCTGCCCCTCTCCAAGTCCACTGATAGGGGAGGACCTCCTCCCCTTTCATTTGACCCTGTTTTATCAGGTATCTTCAAGGCTGGCTGCAAAGTCCTCCTCTGTGGCCTAACAGGACTGCTCCTCCCCTGGGGGGGGGGGAGGTCAAAGAGCCTGCCCTTGAGATCCTGTTAGAAATAGTCCTTGTTCCCCTTACTTTGGAAAACTACTTGGTTACTGAGCTATCACGGGCCACATCCGAGCAGAAATTCTATGTTATATCCATAGATGGTCCTTGGTTGAGTGTCAGTCTCAGAAAAGACCCTGTGCCCGGATATATTTGGTCCTTGTAGAGCTCCTATCCTTTCCATATCATACTGACTTCCCTTCTTTCATATGATTCCCTGCACTCTGCCAAGGTTTGGTTATGAGTCTTAGTGTCTGCTTTGAAACACTGCTAGGTAGAGTCTTTCAGATGCCTTTTGCGGTAGACTCCTGTCATACGAGATAATGATATTTTAAGAGAACAAACGTCACTAAATCATATTAAGTGGTGCCAGTGTGAGTCAGAGGGCCCAACAGCACCACCCTGGGGAGCTCCAGAGCACAGCAATAGCTCTGAGTCTCCCCTCATCACAATGCTGGAGCGGCAGGTAGGCAGAGGGCCCTTGGTTTTCTAAATCACCTACTTTGGTGGAACATAAACACGAGAGTCGTTTGGAAAATGAAGGCAAGGGATGATGTGTGTTTTTCTTTCCTGGGTTGTTTCAGAAGTGTCTCTCATCTGGCTTTGGGACACAAATATCTTGATGCCTCAATTCTTCAATGTCATATCTGGATGGTTGTGATCTCCTTCCGTCAACCATAAACCTTCTAGCTTAGATCCTCAAGTGAATACTGAATACTTACAATAGCATTGGAATCATGTCAACTGATCTAAAGAGGTTTTTGTACCTTAACACAATTTTTTATGTTTATATCTAGTACTTACTTGTATGTATGTTTTTAAAGTCTATTTGCACTAAAATTTTAGCAATGAAACAAGTCATTGGAAAAAATTTAAATTATTGTTGAAGGTAATTATAAAATGCTTTGGATATTGTGTATTGTAGCAGTTATTGTTTTTGTTTTCACAATATCCCGTATTATTCTAAGTGATTAAGTTTTTGAAAAACCAATAAACAGAAAAACTTAAGTCCATCAAATAATAGTTAATGTCCCCAAATGAATCTTTTCTGTAGCTAGCTCATTAGGAACCGTGTGGTAGCATCTAGAAAGAGACCATGTCAGACAGTGCATTAAGTCATATCATGTTACAATATATTTGAAACACATTGTTCTAAATCCTTCAGCTTTTTTTTTTTTTTCTGTTCTCAGGAGATGGATATCTTTTATTTCACCAGAGCAATCATCCATGAAAGAGACTTAGCATAGAGGAAAGCTATTTCATTCACGTAAACAAACAACAAGCAAATAAATAGCAGTCATCTGGGGAAGTCACCTCAGAAGGGATCTTTCCTGTGCTGTACGTTGTAGTCAGGTGGAGGGAGGGTTCTGGTACACTGTCCCACAGAAAAGAATGAATGTTGTTTACTGGCTGCTTCATAAAGCTGGAAGAAAGACTTTTAAGTGTTTTTGCTGGGAAGGAATGGTCGCCATTAGAGTTCGGGTATTTAGCCTTATTGAAACAGTAGCTAGTGCACACGTCACAATTATACAACGGCAGCATCACATGATCAGTGTGAACTTGGGTTTTATGGATCAGCTGAAGATCAATTTGTTTTAAATCAGAAAAAGAACTTGCCTTATTTATTTGCCTACTAGGGAGCAAAAAGAAGGTCCTGTGTTCCAGCCCCTTGGTCCTTCTCCCCTCATGCCTCTGTGGCTAGGTTAAATGCCACCACTGACTTCACCTGGAGTTCTGGAGGAGCTGTAAGAGCATTTTAATTCCTGTAGGAAACCTGTGTTCTGGTACTTGATGCATATTGGCAATCACTTTACAACCTTCACTTTTAAAAACATTTTTGGATAGTCTTTCCATCTAGGATCCAGGAATTTGTATAAAACCAGATGGCGACATTGCATTTGGACCAAAAGGCTATTGGTTTGTGGAATTTCCTTTAACTGGAAGCACGAATGAGTCTGTGGTTTTAGTGTTTTTACAGTTTTATACTATCCTGCTTGTATTAATTTTTAAAGGTGGGGGATTTATCACTAATTTCCATATTTTATAAAGAGCTAACATTTTCCTTTCTTCGGTCCTTTATTTTTTATTTTTTCAGTTGAAAGAGACAAGGACTTTTCTCATCAGAGAAGGCACTACAAAGAATTTCGGTTTGATCTCACCCAAATTCCACATGGAGAAGCAGTGACAGCCGCTGAATTCCGGATATATAAGGACAAGAGCAACCATCGATTTGAAAATGAAACAATTAAGATTAGCATATATCAGATCATCAAGGAATACACAAATAGGTATCAACTTTATGTTAACTATTTATCCGACCAAACAAAGACTAGATTTTAGTTAAAAAGCCATTGATGGCCTATGTAATTAACAACATATTTTCTTGGGTGAAGAGAGATTTTGGGCCAGGAAGAAAACATTGGAAAGTAAGAATGAAGAAAGAGCTGGTGAGATGGTCCAGCAGTTGAGAGCTCTCCGTCTTGTAGAGGGCCATAGTTGGCCCCACAGCTCCCATGTCAGGCAGTCTACAACTACCTTTAGCTCTAGGTCCAGGAAATCCACATCTCCCTTTTGAGAGACCTCTTTTGGCACCTGATACTCAGACAAACACACACGTATACCTGAATAAAATCTAAGTGTAAGTCTAAAAATGAATGGAAATAAGCAAATACAAAAAATTCCTCCTATATTTTAAAGATTCTTCTATTGTTGACCTGTCTGTGTATCAATCAGTATACAGTGTTCTTTTTTGGTCTTTTGTCTCATTTTGCAACTCTGCATTTCAGTCCAGAAATTTGCATTTTATTCTATATACATAACATTTCATGTAAAGCTATTTAAATGACATAGTATTCTGTAAGTGGAAGAAAGACTGGTTTGCTAGGTAAGGGGTAGGATATTATAAAATTAGTTATGTGTATTTTGAATAAAGATATTCTACTTATATTAGAATTTGACAGATGAACAGTATATATCCTGTCTAAAGATAGTTGAGAACAGATGAAAGAACAAACATTAAATGTATGAAAATGCCACTGATAATGAATTGATGCAAATGAACTCTCAAGTATGAGCTGTAGAGTAATTAGTTATTTGTGTTATAGTTCATTTGCCAGTAGTTTCCATTCATGAGCACAAACCTTTCTTATGATGAATTGCTATGTCCTTTGGTGAGGTAAATACCTAAGGTTCAGTGTCTCGTTCCCTTTTTACCTTGATAACTTCATAGTTCCCTAATGTTTAGGTTTTCCTTGATGTTCCAATGTAGTAGTTTCCCAAAGAATGTTCTATTGTCTCTCACAATACTCAGTGAAGATAAAAACAAACAAACAAACAAACAGACAGACAGACAGACAGACAGACAAAAACAAACCTGAGGTCAAATATCTTCTTTAGGCATCCTATAGAAGGCCCATAATGCAAAACAAAAAGTCTTAGGCAGGCTTGTGGTTAAAAAGGCTAATTTTTTGTTTTAGCCGGCCATCTTCAAAATTATTTGTTAATTGAGTTTTAGATGTGTAGCACTTATTAATATCCCAAGGAACACTAATAAAGGAGGATTATTTTAATAGATATTGTTCTATATGCACTGCTATTTTATATGAGAACTAATAAGAAATCAGAAAGATCCATGTCATTTTCGTAACTTTAGTAATTGCTAGCCATGGGTGAGTTATAGTTCTTAAAAACCTGACTATAGTGCTATTTTTGATCGTTATTTTTTGTTCTTTTTGAGACAGTATCTTGAATATAGTACAGGCTAGCTTAGAAGTTACAGAACTTATGTCGTTGCCTAGCAAGTGATGGGATTTCAGATGTGGCCCATAATGTCCAGCAGTGGTTACAAAATGAAGGCACAGAGCCTGCATAGGTAATGAGTCTTATAAAACATCTGTTTTGCATTAAATAATGATAGTATCATTTATAGTTAAGTGGTAATTGGAAATAGTATTTTGATCATTACTTAATATTTCTACAATTTTAATTTTATTTTACTTATAGCTCTGTTTTTTCTACAATGGAAGGAAGGGTGTTGTAAGCATTTCTTTTCATCCCTGGTATTACTAAGTTGTTTGATCTGGATAAATATTTTGACATCACTATTGTTTATTGCGGGGAGCCATGTGTATTTTAATGGACATCAATTTGGACTTGGCTACTTAATAGCTCGGGTATTTTGATACATCAGGTTTTACTAATTGGGAATATTTTGATTGAATGTAGATCTAGAATTTTATATTGACCAAGATAAAAAGACAGCTTTATTCAGGTCCTGTCATAGTTTTGAGGTTGAACGTTATGGAAGTCCCATGTTAAAGGCGTGATCTTCAGGAGGTAACTGTTGAGGTTTCCTAGGTGCTATGGGCCTTGAAGAGGAATGCGGGCACTTTACCCCATGCTTGTTCATGTAGTCAGTGTCTTCTTACTGATGAGTAGTTTGCTCAGCCACAGAAGTCTACCATCGTGTCTTCCTTAATACAAGACTCCAAAGGTATTTATCGGGCCACTTGATCAGGACTAGAATTGATAAAATGACGAATCTAAATAACTCTTTTCAATTTATGTGTTTATTATGTAAAATATTTCATTGTAATGGAATTCTGACCAATACAAGTCCATTTTTTTTTTTTTTGTGCTCAGGATATTTTTGTGCACACACATGAAGAGAGAGGGAGAGAGGGAAGCAATTTTATGCTAAACATATGCTAAGTAGAATGCCCAACTGCTCCACAGTAAAAAGGACTTAAATAAAAATATTAGGATTTAAAAATAAATTTACTTTGCATTTCTTAAGTTGTGGAAAGAATTTTCTCCAATGAATGCTAAGAATTAATATTTTTCTTTTGATTCTTTTCATAATATTTTGACTTTAACTCTGTGAGAGTAGAACCAAGGGAAAAATCCTCATTTCCACACTGTATGATAATAGTTAAAAGAGAAATAATTGCAATAGAAAAAAGTAATTTTAAAATTTAAATAAATCTTTATAATCATTTACTGTAGTTTCTTATGTATGATATATACATATATATGTTCTATGTACATATATTGCATATGTTCCTTTTTTACATATGTACATATATATACATACATATATGTTGTTTTTTTACTGTATGATGACTATAGTTAATAATAATATTTAAAATTCTTCATCATCGCTGGGAAGTATTAAATGTTCTCATCAAATACAAGTGGAATGGTGTATGCATTCATTTGCTTAATTTAATGATTTTTTTCACAAAGGATGCAAATACCAAAACATCACATTGCATACCATAAATATATGATATCTACCAGTTGTATACTTTAGTAAAACAAGGGGGAAAGAAATGAATGAAATAATAAATTAAAAACAATCGCCCCACAGCAAAGCAATAAACTTTCTTCAAGTTCACCAAAGTAACCTGCGGTGTAGTTTCCCCCCGTGGGAACCTAAAGGAATTCCTTTCTGAATTGTTTTCTTTTTTTAAATTATTGTTATCATTTATTACAATTCATCCAATTTGTTTCCCGGCTGTAGCTTCCTCCCTTGTCTCCTCCCAGTCCCACCCACCCTCCCTTTTCTCCTCCTATGCCCCTCCTCTAGACCACTGATAGGAGAGGTCCTCCTCCCCTCCATCTGACCTTAGCCTATAGGGGTCTCATCAGAACTGGCTGCATTGTCTTACTCTATGGACTGGTAAGGCTGTTCCTCCCTCAGGGGAAGGTGATCAAAGAGCCAGCCACTGAGTTCATGCCAGAGACAGCCCCTGGTTCCCCTTACTAGGGAACCCATTTGGACACTGAGCTGCTACGGGCCACATCTGTGCAGGGGTGCTAGGTTATGTTCATGCATGATCCTTGGTTGGAGGATCAGTCTCAGAAAAGATCCCTGGGCCCAGATTTTTTTGGTTCTGTTGCTCTCCTTGTGGAGCTCCAGTCCCCTCCAGATCTTTCTATCTCCCCCTTCTTTCATAAGATTCCCTGCACTCTGTCCAAAGTTTGGCTGAGTCTCAGATTCTACTTCAACACCCTGCTGCGTAGAGTCTTTCAGAGGCCCTCTGTGGTAAGCTCCTGTCCTGTTCTCTATTTTCTTCCTCTTCTGATGTCTGTCCTGTTTGCCTTTCTGAGTGAGGATTGATACTCTTACCCAGGGTTCTTCTTCTTTCTTAGCTTCTTTAGGTGTACAGATTTTAGTATGTTTATCCTATATTATATGTCTAATAATCCACTTCTGAGTGAGTATATACCATGTGTATCTTTCTGCTTCTGGGTTTCCTCACTCAAGATGATCTTTTCTCCTACCATTTGCCTGCAAATTTCATGATTTTCTTGTTTTTAATTGCTGAGTAGTATTCCATTGTGTAAATGTACCACAATTTCTGTATCCATTCCTTTGTTGAGGGACATCTGGGTTGTTTCCATATTCTGGCTATTATGAATAAAGCTGCTATAAACATGGTTGATCAAATGTCCTTGTTATATACTTGAGCATCTTTTGGATATATGCCTAGGAGTGGTATAGCTGAGTCTTGAGGTAGCACTATTCCTAGTTGTCTGAGAAAGCACCAGATTGATATCCAAAGTAGTTGTATAAGTTTACATTCCCACCAACAATGAAGGAGGGTTCCCCTTTCTCCACATTGTCTCCAACATGTATTGTCACTTGAGTTTTTGATGTTAGCCATTCTGATGGGTGTAAGGTGAAATCTCAGGGTTGTTTTGATTTGCATTTCCTTGATGACTAAGGATGTTGAACATTTCTTTAAGTGTTTCTCTGCCATTCAATATTCCTCTATTGAGAATTCTGATTAGCTTTGTACTCCATTTTTTAATTGGATTACTTGATTTATTGCTTTTTAACTTCTTGTGTTCTTTATATATTCTGGATATTAGCCCTCTGTCAGATATAGGGTTGGTGAAGATCCTTTCCCAATCTGTAGGCAGTCGTTTTGTTCTGCTGAAGTGTTCTTTGCTTAAAGAACTAAAATTGAGGCAGGAAAAGAAAATAGTATGTCTTCTATTTTCAAAATATATGTCACTTCTCAACACTTTCATCACCAAAATTATGAATTTTTTTTATGTAGTCTTTTCGTAAAACTCAGAAGCAGTTGAAGTCCTTACAGATCATACATTTTAGCCCAGTGCATTTAATAGTATGCGTGCATTATCATATGGGAACCTACTGTCCCTAAGATACTGCCTAAGTGTGTGTGTGTGAGGATCCTTGCTACAATTTAGACTGATGTTTGGACATGTTTCACACTCAAGACCTGCGCTGATCTATTAATTGTCTGTGAATCCTTTA